TATTTTCATTTTGTTCTGGGCTTTTTCTGGACTTTTTAACCATCAATCGCGGGTCTATACAAGATGCATTTCGAATAAGAGAATAATTTATTGAACAACATTAAGTGTTGTACCATTGTTAAGACACATTGTTGACCTTCTTGTTTCAATGCAAAACTTTCAGCTTGTGAAATGTCCTTCTTGCAGCATTTATCATTCATTAACTGCTCAGCTATGAATCCCAAATAAACTTTACTTTTATCATTATAACAATTTGGATCATTAAAATTAAATTTATAAAGATTTTCTGCTTTAGTTATTTTTGAATATTCTAGTTTCAAAATTTTAAAGTGCTGAAGGCAATCATTTACAAGTTTTAAGATATCTTCAGCAAAAAAGGGAATAAGTGGTTTATCACTTTGATAATATTCAAGGAAAGGCAATAATATTTTCGACAGAGAGAGAAAAAAATTTAATTTTATAAGAAATGTTTTATCTTTAGTTGCCTCCAAAATATTTGAGAAGGATTTCGATGAATTTTTTTAAACTTCCCCATTTCAACTTTTTTAATGTACAGTAGCAAGTCATCCCATATTTCAATGGCTCTTTCAACTGCTGGAACATCTTGCAACCATCGGTAAAAGCAGAACTTCACAGGTAGCTTTTTTAAGCCAGATATACTTAAAAAATCTTCACGTCTTGCAGGAAAATCTTTAAAAATCCAATATAAGGAGGATAAGAATGATGGAATGTCCCAGCCAGTGGATGACATCCCATGCTTGAAAGCATTGTTAAGAATGTGTAAAACACTTGTCCCTAATGTCAAGCATTGAATGTTATATTCCTTTGTCAAGTCCTGTTGCAATAAATCATAAAATTTCCAGTTTACTGCAGGACCATCCATCGATATTTGTAAGAGTTTTGACAAGTCTAGTTTTTCAACACATTCATAAAATTGGATAAAATAATTTCACTTGTTGCATGCCCTATAAATGCAGAAGTAAGGTACTGAGTTCTGACCTTATTTTCGTGATGCCAGTACCTCACATAAATATCTAGTTGCTTCTTTTGATTTGTCAGATTAAGAGTCTCATCAAATAGTAATGTAAAAAACTCAGCATTTTTACAATGCTTTAGTAACAAAGTTTTAAAATAAGGGCCAAGACCAAAATAACAGATATAAGCACATTTCTTTTCACCACATGAAAACTATTTTGCAATGGAACTATCCGGGAACATTTTAGTGAATAAGGCCCAATATCATCGCACGATTTAAAAGAATAGTGGCTTTTGATGCACTTAAAAAGCCCACAATATTTCTGCATCTGTAACTTCAGATTTGAAAAGAAAAGAATTGATTTTATTATTTTCTACACTTATTGATGTTGAATTAGCAGTTACATCTTTTCCTGAAGTAGATGGTTCTTCTAACTTGACAAAATTCATGATACTGTTTAGAAGAAACTCTGCAGTTGAGAAGGGAAGAGATGTTTTGCACGCTAAAAGGGGCATTACATGCAAGGCATTAGTAAAATTAAGTATCGCATATATATATATGTATATATAATGTATGTATATATATATATATATATATAATATAATAAGAAATGTATACTGAAAATAAATATACATTTTTACTATATATATATATATATAGTACAAAGTCCGAGATCCGGACATCCAATATCTGGAATGATCTAAAATCCGGACATCAAAACCACCACCAACCAATTTTTTAGGGCTTTTTTGGAGGGAAGGGGTATGCTTTACGCATGCGCATTAGATTTTTTTTCCTCTTCTTAATCTCAGTTTGACGCTAAATAAAATATCCCATTACTGAAGAAATAATTATTTTGGCATAAATTTGTGTGATTAGTAACTTGACTCCATAGCTGCGTATCTGCTTGGCGTAATCTCAAACCGAAACATTTGTTAATTTTACACTAACTAATATTTTATATCCTTGATGCCGAAATCGCGAATCATTATTTATTGTATTTTGCTTTCATCACCGCATGTTTATCAACGGATGACAACTTGAGTGATGACTCATGCAGCGACGCCAAATAACAGAGTATTATCCGATTACAGATTTAAGTTTAATGCGCTAAAATGTTGACAAGGGGAGATTTAACAGAAATTTCTTTCCTTATGCTAAAAATAGATTTTGTTAATGATACTCATAGGACAAACGATTATATTTAGTGCTATTTGAATTAATAACTGATTTGTTATTCACATAAAGCCAGAACCAGTACCAGAGCTTGCATGGCCGCACCAGGCGGCAGAATTTAGGGAAGTTAAACAGAAGTTTTTCATTGCGATGACAATGCCCCAATCATCAATCAATTAACGGAGGGCGAAATCTGTAGTATGGTTCTAAATCCAGAAAATACAGCTACCGATAGTGAAGAAAGTAACAGAGAGGTTACTGAACGAGAAAAAATTTTGATTGACAAGTTATTCGGAATTCTCGACACAGCAATTACAGGACTTGAACAATGGAACTTAATAACTGAACAAGAAATTATATGTCTATAGTATTAGTCTAAAGTATTAGCAGAGAAAACAAATCAAACAACTCACATTGAAAGAAATGTTTAATAAAGTAAACATATAAATATTAAGCTCTTTTCTTTTGTAAATTTTGATACCCTTTAAATCATAAATGCTTCATTATTTCATAAATCACGATTTCATATTTTCAATTTTATAATTTCTACGTGCCATCTTAGTAGATTTAAAATGATCTAATATCCGGAAAAATCTCAAATCTGGGATCGCCGAAGTCCCGACCTCGGACTTTGTACTGTATATATATATAAATTTGTTAAAATATATATAATACGGAATGTATATTTTCAGTTAAACTTCTACCCAATAACTTTAGTAATTCATGAAAGTTAATTTTGCGTCTAGTTAATTCAGGAAAATTAGTTTAGTTGTTTTCAGCTTTAAAAATATTAAAAATTTTTTAGTTAGTTGTATTCAACTAATAATTGTATCACCATTAGCAAAAATAATGCATTACTATTAACAGGATAGGATTAAACCAAATACTTAATTGTCTATTGAAGCTTCAAAACGTATTTCCGAACTTCACTTTTTTCTCGGCTAGCGTTACCGAATTTGCCCTTGGCGACTCAAAATTCGAAATGGAGCCAACAGATTTCCCGCGAAATTCGATAACAGACCCTCTGCAGAAATAAACTCAGATAATCCCTGATATCCCATACATATAGTATGTGCAAAAGAGAATAAACTCCTGTAGAAGGTAATCAAAAATTAATTTATGGCTTAAATTGAAACAAACACAGAAATTAAGCTAAAGCAAAACCATGTAAAAACAAATTGAAATGATAAAACGAAACTTAATTTTCATGTGAATTTTCAGCGCTGACTCTCCCATTCTAGAAATTTCAATTTGTTTCAGACAAAGACCACATTTAGCTTTATAAGGATTGTCATCCATCAATATCCAGTCTTTGTAGTCAGCTTGATGAGGCCACAGTTTATTGAAAATGCACTTTCCAGGCATCTCGTTCCTATTGGCGTCGGAAGGGTTGTGGCCTTCCAGGTTGGGACTGCTCTAATTTTGGCAAATATTTTCAGAATCCCCTCCACCTCTTTTTTTTCTCGAGCACCTTCATCATCACTTTCGCCCCTTAAAGAAACTTCCTGGCCTTCACGCTTTCGTCACAACCTGCGTAAATTTATGGACAACACCTGTTTCAAAAGATTGCGTGAATAGCCAATCAGACACCTGATACTTTCGGGTTCTAATACGGTGACTAATTTTTTTTTTTAATCATTTGCAACGCAAATCCGCCAACAGATTCGTTAACAGCCGTTAATTTCATATTCATAAGAAATCGCAATTCACACTGTGAATGGCAATCATTAGAAATGATAAGAAATGTCAAATGAGCAAAATTAAGGACCGTTTATTCATTTTGGCGAAAATTAAGAACTTTTAAGGACCAAAAATCATTTTTGAAAAAATTAAGGACTTTTAAGGACCGTACGAACCCTGCTTTTAGAATCCCTCCCTTTTTTTTTCCTCGAGCACCTTCATCATCACTTTCGCCTCTTAAAGAACTTCCGGCTTCACGCTTTCGTCACAATCTGCCTAAATTTATGGATAACACCTGTTTCGAAAGATTGGGTGAATGGCCAATCAGACACCGATACTTTTGTTCGGGTAGCTAATTTTTTTTTTTTTAAATCGTTCGCAACGCAAATCCGCCAACAGGTTGGTTAAGAGCCGTGCAATTTTAATTCCATATTCATGAGAAATCGCAATTCACACTTAGAATGGCAATCATTAAAAATGATACGAAATGTCAAATGAGCAAAATTCAGGACCGTTTATTCATTTTGGCCAAAATTAAGGACCTTTTAAGGACCAAAAAAGCCTTTTTGAAAAATTAAGGACTTTTAAGGACCGTACAAACCCTGGAATAGACGTATCAAATTGAAAGAATTGCATCAGATCATACCGGAAGTGTCAATGACAACTCTTTATGAAGTTGTGACTGTCAAGTTAGGGTACAGGAAATTTTGTGCACGCTGGTTTCCAACAGGCGGCAACCTTCTATTACATACAAAAGCTTGTGTACCCACTTAACAAATGTTTGGATAACGGGGGTGATTATGTCAAAAAATAATAAATAATCCAGTTAATAAGATGTAACTGACGTTTTTCTAAATAAATGTTTTTTTTAAGGAATGCGAGCCATTGTATCTTTACTTTTCGAAATGCCCTTGTAGTATAGTTTGTTAAGTTTAGTTAAGAATTACGGTCCATTCTGAATTATCTGAAACATCAATAACTTGAAAAAAAAAAAGAAAAAGAAAAAAGCCAATGCTTTAATATATAGTTTCATGAATGTGCTAAAAGCAATGGTTATTTTAATTCTGTTCATGTTCATCAAAATTATTTCACTGTTCTTTTTAATAAAAATTGGATAATTTTTCAATAAATTAAAAAAGTTAAGAGGAAATTAGAGCTTTTTACTTACTAAGGCATAGCTATTATCACTTGCTAATATCACCACATCTATTGGAGATGTATGATTAGCAACACAGATGCCACCATTTACAGCTCTATTCTCTCTAAAATAAGTATAAAAAAAAAAGCACACAAAATGAAAGTTTATCAATGTATCTCAGAAATTTATAATGCTTTAACAAGAAAATTAAAATAAAACACAAACCTGTTGTGGTATGTAACAATAGCAGAGCAAGCACAACCAAAAATCCGAAAACAGAGAATACTTGCATGCCAATATATCCACCTCTTAAACCTAAAACAGAAAAATGCTACAATTTTTTCTTGAGAACCAAAATATTAATTTAATCACAAAACTAGTAAAGAATAACTACTAAACGTAGAATAATGCTTAAATTTACTGCTTAACAATGATATTTATTATACAAGAAGAAGATTTGGAATGGAACCTTAGTGAGTTTAGGGATATTTTGACCATGAATTATGAATGAAACAGGTTCTAATTAAAAAGAGGAAATCACAAGTACATGATGCTATCCATTTTGCCTTTCTAAACATCAGGTAATTTTTTATTAATGCAACTCAAATTGTTCCTCTGAATATTTATTCATTAAATACCAAACACAAATATTTTCTATGGATTGTTTGACAAAACAATTTTCAACCTTTTCTCAAAAATAAATACACACATATTTTTTTTTTGTTAATAAATTTCCAATTTAAACAATATGTTTAAAACTTCAAATAAGCAATCCAAAGTACTACATGAAATTAAAGAACAAAATTGTTTCATAAAAAAAAATTTAATTTAATTAAATTTAATTTAAATAAATTAATTAAATTTAAATACAAATTTAATTAAATAATTCTTTACGCCATTGCTGCAAGGAATGAAATTTAAATTTAAACAAATTAAATTTAAATTTTAACAAACACGCATAAAAGTAAAAAAGCAAATTTAAAGCCAAAATTAAAAAAAAATTTAAAGCCCCCCCAAAAAAAGTGTTAACATATAAAAGATATAATTCTCGAACTAATCTACAATATCATTTAAATTCAGAAGCATAAGCAAAAGCAAATCAAGCACAAAACCAATGCATAAGTGAATGACTGTTGAGCAGGCAGGAGACAGACTTATCAAAGGGAAGTTGCCTCCAAAGCTAACTCTCCAATCATTCAATTCGTGTTTCGTCATTCATGCAGGTAAGGGTAAAAGTCAAAACCAAAAGTAAAAAGTGAAGAATGTCCAAAAAGAAATACCAACAAAGTGGTACTCTTAGAAATTAGCATTTAAGAATTAAAGTTTTAAAAGGAAAATACTAATGAAGTCTTTTGAGAAACAAGCAAGTAAAGTCAAGTATTAAACTTTTTTTTTAAAAATTCAATTAAAAAAAAAAATTTGGGGTACTATTCAGTTTCGAAGGCCGTAAAAAATCGCCAAACTATTGTTGATGCCAATGCTGCCAAATAATTGCGGCAAGAATGAAACTATAAAAGTAAATAACTATCTAAGATTGATGCTTTAATTTAGATGAAAGGTTAATTTCATATACTTTTTTATTATTATAATTTATATGAAAAAGGCTAAACATCACTGAATGAAAGTGTAAGAGTAAATAACTATTTCAGATCATTATTATAATTTATATAAAAATTGCTAAACATAACTGAATGGATGCCTGCATTGCTATTTCGCTACCGACTTATCGCTAAAGCATAATTTCATCTCGTTGGTTGTTCAAATGTAATTTTCTATAATGAATAATGCCTTTTCTTTGAAAATATTCTCAGTAAAGTGCAGAATCGCTCACTTATTTGTTTGCCGCTTTTAACAAGGGTAAAAACAATTGGATTTTTGTCAATTTTCTTTAAGTGAAAATAGGTCGATGTGTACATAGATAAAGTCAAGGGTGTGTGCAGTGCCATTTTTGTGCAATTCTAGGATTTTTTTTAAGTGAAAATAGGTCGATCTTCACATGGATACCGAGTATGTGCAATTCTTAAAAACGTGTCAAACAGTGGGTGATTCTGCACTTTACCCAAAATTCTATTGCCGACTTTTCGTCGTGGGCAATCCCAAATTGTTAAATCCATAGGGTATCAAAAAAGGATTTAAAATCAAAAAAGGATTTAAAAATTAAACTAGTATGTCAGTGGCGTCTTAAGAAATATAGAACTATATAAACTTACACAATCTGAAATCGGCACGTACGCTAGATTTGGCGCGCTGTTTAAATGGGCGCGCTTGCTAGATTTGGCGCTTTTGCGCATACATTTTCGCTGCAATTTTTTTACGGCCCTCAAAACCGAATAGTATCAAAATTTTTATAAAAAATAATCTAGAAACTAATGTATTTTAGAATTCCTTGTCTACAGAAACCTCCCCGACACAAATATGCATATAAATAAAAAGAAACTAAAAAAGAACTAGACATAATCCATATAAACCAATAAGAAACAAAGAACTAATTCACAATTTTTAAAAAAAACAAATATATACTTAAAAATATAATTTCATATCTAGAAAATACTTAAATACTACATAATTTTTTTTTTTTTTTTAAAATACTTAAAGCAAGTAAATAGTAAGTTTTAATTCTAACTTACCTACTAAATGAGCGTTGGGGTCTGCAAAAGTGTTTTTAAGAGAAGTAAGTGTGCTTTTCAAATTAATCATATAGATGGCGCTTATGTAGGTAAAGTTGAGTGCCAAGCTGCTATCTTGTTATATTAAAAATTTTTTGCAAACAATAATATTAAAATATATGAAAAATATAAAAAATAAATCTAGAGAAATTAAATTAAAAATCCTAAAGGTATGTAATTCAAGTTTTAATTTTAAGGATAAATTATTTAGGGAGTTAAGCCAATCAAGAGAGGTAAGTTTGCTTGAAGTAAAATAGAGTTAAGTGGTATTGTGAATTAATAAAGGTAAACTGTTTGTAATGTGAAATGTGTGTTCTGTTGAAAAATTGTGTAAATATTGCAAGGCAAATAATTAAAGTAATTAAGTAAAAATGAAATGTTTTAAAATTTAAGTTTTAAAGTAAAATTTAAAATGTCAAAAAATTTCCCAAAATTTTGTGAAACGAAGTATTTAAAAAAACCTCTAAAAAAATTCCCAGTAATTTCCCAAAAATTCCTTAAATTTAAAGAAAGTTAAATTAAAGAAAAAAATTTAAAAGTTAAATTTAAAGAAAGAAAAATTGAAAGTTTAATGAACTTGATTTTAACTGGTATATCAAAACTTAACTAAATACTCGCTAAAGTATGGAAAATTAGAAGAAGATTAAAATCTTCACTCAATTCGGGCTATAATTGAGACTTTTGAAAAGAGTTGGCCCTTTATTAGTAAAAGGAAAGAATCCAGTATTGATTAAATATACATATTTACAAATTTATTTACAATAAAAATTTACAAATAATTTCTTTACTCTTCTTTATCCTTCATTACCCACCAGCTAAGGTTTAAGGTAATGTTATCATATCAAAAAGAGCCAAAAAATTATAAAGTAAAGTTAATGCCTGTCTTTTTAATATATAAATTAATAAATTTTGGTGGTACTTGGTTATCAACTTGAACATTAATTAGCTTTATTATTTCTTCCTTTAAATTGTCTATTTCAGTAAATATATTTTTTATTCTGATTATTTGGCTATGAAACATGTTTTCTATTACTTTTCTAGAGATATTAGAGTTCCAATTAATTAGTTTAATAGTATGAAAATGGAAATTCCTTCTTTTATCATATAATTTAATTTTGCTGTGTTTAATAATTTGCAGGTCTACGTAGGTATTCATAGTATCTTGATAATTTAAATGATATTGTAGATTAGTTCGAGAATTATATCTTTTATATGTTTACACATTTTTTTTTTGCTTTAAATTTGCTTTTTTACCTTTATACGTGTTTGTTAAAATTTAAATTTAATTTGTTAAAATTTAAATTAAAGAACAAACATTATTTTGTGGTATTTACATAATATACACTACCAGGAGTTCTGACTGAGGTCAAATAACTTTAACAGCGCACATTAGCAGCTTTACATATTATTTGAGCCCTATGGACCCAGGATAGGTTTCCATTCTATTTCAATAATGTAAATATCTCAAAGAAATTTACTCTGATCTAAGGCAATTTTGTTTGCCATGCCCAATTTAGGACTGTTAATTTCATTTTGGCATATTGCGTCAATTCACGATAAGCATTGCTTCACTATTCAAATTGCTGCCACCAAATACTATTGCCCTGTATTATATTTAAAGAAAATAAATAATGAAGAATCTGCGTCAATGTATGTATGTTTCTCACACTGTGAAATTCTAAAGAAATGCTCATCTAAAAATTATTTTGTGATATTACTCTTTAACTGAACTTTAAGTGTGAAGAACAAGATATTTAATAAATAAAGGTAACACACAAAATTGGGGGGGGGGGAAACGCTCCTTGGACGTAATTTAAAATCTGAAACCTTTCAGTTTTTTTTTTTTTTTAATTTTATTCTTACTTTGGATTTAATTTAATTTATTTCTTTAGGACTCAGAGAAATAGGTATTTCATCTATTATTGAGAAGACAAAGACAATAATCTTCTATCATTAGCTCAATTTGTTTGCTTTGAGGATTAGTATCCCTTCCTTACCCACAGTGGATTATGGTCAATAAAGTTCCCTATTATGATAATATTTCTGGCAACTGCTCTAGAAGAATATTTAAATCTCATTGATCAATGTGGTCATTCAAAGACGAATGAATAAAACATACTGAAACTAATGGCAATAGCTTGGAGGCTTGTGGTTAAACAAAATGAATTAGAGGGATAGTCATATGAGGTAAGGAGACCACACCTCCATTGACACACTCACCTACAAGATTGTCTTTCCTGATGAAAGAAAACCTTCGACCTTTCTCTAGTTTCAGGAGACTCTCCTGCACTGCCAAGCACACATTGGCAACAGATATTAATCAGGTCTTTCATGTTGTAGGGCTCCTCACCTTTATCTATTAACTAATTGTTAAGGAACCTAATGAAAAGCTAAGCGAATAATCACATAAGTTCAGAAATAGAAACATAAACTCAAGAAGTGTTAATTACCCTTTATTTCTCAAAATAAAGATTGTGACAGCCCCTTCCTTAGGATGTACAATAAAGCCGCCACTTGGGCTTAAACTGAAAATTATAAGATATAAGAACTTAACTAAAGAGATTTTAGCCAAAGCTAATACAATTTTTAAACTAGTTGGCCTGTAATGTTAAATTAGCTAGTGAAGTTATCCAGGGCACATAATATGGCCAAGCACAGTAACAGCTTAAACAGATATAGCCAAAAGACAAACACACACTATTCAGGAATCCCAATTTTCTCTCTCGAAGTCAGTAGAGCTTTGGCTTGAATACTCTCTACTACTCATGTGCATTTAACGTGTTTCTAAAAATTCATTCTGTTAAGGAATTGTAAATTGTAAGCTGAAGCTAGAAGAGACAGGAAAGGTGAATAAATAAAACTAAAAATAACTTATAAACTTGGGATATAACTTACAATGTGTATGAAGTTTTGGTCAAAGCTGTTGACAATTCCATGACATTTGGGTAGCTATTATGAATGATACTTGTTCTTGTTCCCCCTCCCCTTTTCTTTCATGTGAAAGCAAATGTTTTGGGATATCTAATATTTCTTCCCTAACTATCTCAGAATTTAAATGATCCACACCCGGACTATCAATGAAGCTCAGGCTTTGCAGTCCTGAAGATTTTTTAGATTTAATTTTTTCTTCGGTATTTGCAGTGTGTGTATTCTTTTCTTCATTTTGTGTGTTTTTTCCTGTGGCTCCATTGTTGTATACGTGTGTGTTTTTTTTAAGGAGTCATGACTTTTGAAATAGAACTAGGGCTGGTCAGAATTGACTTTTGGTTTTATACTGAACAATGTCCATGTTCCTGTTGACTGTTATTTTGAATATAGAAAAATAATTCTTATTAATAAATAACTGAAGAAAAAAAAAGAGTTTCTCAAGATAAACTATGTTTTTTGTAACTTTTACGTACTGCATTTCTTTTTCTTTCTTCAAACAGAATAAGATCCTGCATCTCAGGATGTTCTTTGCAGTTAACGTATAAAGCAGCAAAAATGCAATTATCACTGTTATGATAAACAGCGAGCAGTTTGCACATGTGGGTTTACCACGATGTGAGGCTTTTGGATGTGCAAACTGCTGGAGGATGAAGCAGCGCAGCAGGTTTGATATGCATGATTACACTTGACAATGCAAATATGCTTTTCGGCAAGTGTGGAGGCTAAATGTTAATAGGATATGTTTAGTACAGATTAGCTGCCATTTTTATGAAACTAGATCACCCTGGCTGCAGAAATGTACTGATCTTGGAACTCAGTTACTATTTCTTCTTCAGAACCCAATATAAAATCTGGCTCCAAGAACTGTGAGAGAAATTTAAAAAAATATGAGCTGAAAGAGTGATTTATCACTTGTTCAAAGCTCAAGACTTTCATGCTGCCTACAGATAGCATAGGAGTTGCTTTCTCAACTAAAAAATCATTACACTGCAGATGTTCGACACTTCTTTATTCTTCTGCTATAGCAACTATGTATTTGTGAATCAGAAAAGGTGACATTTTCTTTAATTCCTCACCAGTATTAGTGATACTTACGAAATGCAAAGATAATTAGAGACATGAATCATAGGTATTTGTTTCTATTCTAGTCTTTTTCAAGATGACTGAATAGTTGTCAATCTTTTGAATGCTTTTTTGAACGGCCATATTTGAAAACAAAGGAAGTTGTACACAGACACAGTAGCTCTATCTACCACAAATCCCAATAAAGAGATAGACTCCTGCTTCAAGACGTTCTGTGCCCATACACAAACTGAGCTTCATGGTCAGTTTACCTAAAAGCTGACAAGGACTAGTGATCAACCAATTAATACTAGCAGGGACAGATAAATGGCTCCCATTTGGACTGAAGCAGAGGCCAGAGCTGCATGTTGGGGACAGCACATCACCACTAAACTACCAAGGCATTCCTTTTGGCATATAGGTCGCCATACACTGCAAATGCATAGACAGTTTTCCCACCATGGAAGTCAAAAGGCGAAAGCTTTGTTATAGCATCTCATAGTGAGCCCCATCCTCCATAGAGGAAACCATGAGGAAAAAAGGGAGTAAAAATGTATTTGTTAAGAAAAAGGGAAAAGGAAGAGAGGATACAATGCTATGGATCAAAGATCATAATATCCATCTCACCAAGGATCCTCAGGATTGTCACACCCACACTCACCAGAAAAGAGCTACTGAAGGGATTAGAACTTGGACTACACAAAAAGCACACATGCGAAAAACTAAAAGACATTTGTTGTTAAAATTACATCATGTGTGTGTTTGCCTAAAGAATTGTTACACACATAGCTGCTAGAATTTGGCAACTTTGTAAAAGTGATTGTGATAATGCATAAGTATCTGATTGAACATTAATTGTTAAATAATTTGATACTTTGTTAGTAACTCACTACAATTATTTTGGAAATTCTAGCCCAAATAAGAGGAAAGCATTATAATAGAACTGTCTATTAAAGTAGTTCCAAAAAATAATTAAACACATAAAACTGTGCTCATCATATAAAGTAAACACACCTTCTAATAAATAATATATTGCATAAACAACTTAATTTATAAAAAGTCTTTAAATGCAACACAAAAACACCCAGGAAGATAAAATACAATATTACCTTCCTTCTGGCAAACAACCAATAATAGCTGTGCAAAACAGTAACCAGCAAACACCAAAAAATGTTATAAAACACCTGTTTAAAAAAATACAAGAAATTTAATTATTTAAAAAAATGCAGCATTTTTTTTTATTTATTTAAAAGATTGCACTTTATAAATCCAGTATTAATTTTATAAGTTTAAATAACTTCTTACAAATGGTTTAGTCACTAAATTACACTTAAATCACTTACAGTACCATCTTATTTTTTAAAATCTTGAAAAGCCAATACTGCAATAATAATAAGAAGAAATCTAACTGTACAGGATGAATTGAAATGATTTTAAGTTAAGATGATACATTAAATAATGTATAAGCTACAAGAAAAATACAATTTTATATAAAAAGTAAACATACCGAAGAGGGAACAAGATACAATAACGTAAAAAGAATCCTAATCCCCAAATGCAGGTTAATCGAAAACTAAAAAAATAGAAAGTACTATATAATAGCAAATATACTCATAGAAGCAGGCTTTTAGTTAAAAAATTTTTGTTACCACAAAATATTTACTCTCTCTAGTATATATCTACTGCATTCTTTTAAAATAAAAATATTTATTTATTAGAAATGGAATATTTAGTTTATAATAAATATCAAATGGCAAATTAAAAAGTTCAATTTGTGCAATTTTTGAAACTACATACATTTTAATACATAAACAACTATAGTAAAATCATAGATTTTTAAATATTAAAGATGAATAGGCTTCATAATAATAAATTATATATTCAGAAGTGATATGTACATATAAACTTGCAATGAAAAAACTTCAGATTATAATCAAATAGCTTGAAGAAAACTTTTAAAAACTAAAATATTTAAAATACATAAAAAGCTAAAAAAATGTGAAAAACCATATTATACATTTCTTATCTTAAGAAAAAAATAAATAAAATAATAATAATAATGGATTAACTACTTCTGCCAACACATAATGTTAAATTTTTATTGTTGAATAAATTAAAAGTCAACTCAAAATGTATTTCAATTTTAAAAGACCCATATTTTTATGAACTTGAAATAGTATACAAAATAACATATTATAAAAGCATATTAAAGTTTGAATAAATTTAAAAACAGAAATATAAACAGAACATTCCTTACTAAATATTACTGTAAATTTCATTATAAAAATTAAATTTTATTCTGAATGCAGACAAAAGCAAACTCAAAACATACATTTAAAAATTTTATAATCCATTAATTATTTTAGGATGTTAGAAACTTGAACTAGAAAATGATATTCTCGGCACAAAATATTACTTTTTGAAATATGAAGTGTCAGTTTAGCATGGGTGAGTTTTACCCCAAATAGAAAACAAGAAGCACCTTACAGAGGTTTTCTTCAATAAAGCACATATCAGTTCTATTCTCCCTCAGGATTTTAGCACATTTTTTAAACCTCAGAAACAGGTGAAGCTACATCCACACTACTGTTATTAGATGTGTCAGAGATCTAACAAATATGTTCATAATTAAGACACAATAACACGCCGAATAAATACTAATTCAGAAGTCAAACAACAAAAATCAGCGTTATACCTACAAAATTTTCACAGGACTAGTTTCGATGGTTTTACCGAACCATCATCTTCAGCTGCAAAACCGCAAATGAACAAGATAGGAAATAATGATTAGATAAGATAAGAAAGCCTGGACAAGAATAAGCAAGTGGCGCCATCTGTTGACGAAACCAGAACTAAAACATAATTTCTCTAAAGCCGAAGGCAAATTTGGATTGGAATTAGGATCGTTAACTAGAACAGAAAGATTTTTATGAATGTGAAATGCCTCTAGAAATCCAGTTCTCCAATGGAAGATGTTTTTTGAATAATTTTGGCAGCAGAAAAATTGAAAGTGTGATTTTCGGACCAACAATGTTGAGCAACAGAAGACCTCTGTGTTTCCTTTTTTCTAACATATGCCTCATGTTCTTTGACGCGAAATTTTAAGGCTCTCTTAGTTTGGCCAATGTAAATTAAACCACACTGGCAAGGAATCCTATAAATACCCCAGGAATTCATATTCGGAATGGGGTCCTTGAGTAGAGAAGTTGGAATTTTATTGATGGGAGAAAAAACAACCCGAAAGTTAAATTTCTGCAAAATATGTGCAACTTTATAGCTAATTGATGGAAAGAAGGGAATGACAACAGAATTTTTATAATCTCCTAAAATAAAAGTGTGGCTTTTAGTGTGTTGAGATGAGAATATGTTCATGGTTTGACTGTATCTCTGTAAGTAAGTAACATGTTTTTCACAGAAAAACAAAAAATATGGTAAAACTCTAATGTTCCATATATTGGGAAATAATTATCCAAATGAAATGAAATCTTACAGGTGCACCCAAGAAGCAGCCTCTTTCTCATTAGTATCAGATGCAGAATGGTGTGAGAAACTAAACTCAAGGGTGCAAGGCCTTTGCATGCACGAAAGTTTGTTTTCTTGACCATGGGCACTGGGGTGCATAATCATATGCCCTGAACAAGTGGTCAGTTTGTCGTAGGAGTCCCAGTGTTTAGTCCCCAAGTGAAATTAGTACTAATTTTATTAACCCATTCTAGGGATGAAAGGCTGAGTCAACCTTGCCCTACCCGGGGATCGAACCCTGGACCCGTGGTGCTGCTGTGCAGTACATTAGCCACTGCGCCAATGGGCTTTGGTGTGAGAAATCTAAACATTAAATTATAAATTTCAAGAGTAAGTTTTGAAACAGCTCTCTCTTGAAACAGCTCTCTCTTCTTCAAGAGTAAGTTTTACTCTTGAAGAAGAGAGAGCTGTTTCTGATCACACTTAAAACTGATAGTTTTCGAAAATATCTATGCCAAACTCAGTTTGCTCTTTTACTTAATTTTAAATTCAAAACATATGATTGTGATTTTTGTTTTAGTTACTTTAATTGAGAAGAAATATGCATTCATAGTGAAAAGCCTCAAAACAGAATGTCTTTTTTGGCAGATTAGAGCTTCTCACGTTATTTAGTTAGTAGTTACAGAACAACCATTCTACAAGTCTTTTTTATTATCATGCTTATTTAATATTAAAAAGGATTTCTTTTCCTAAGTAAAAACAAATCTAAAGCCAACATTCTAAGAATTGTCTAACATATTACATTGGCTCTCACAATAAATGTCCGTTTCAGTTTTCGAATTTTTACCACCAAATGTTATCACCCTGTATTATATTTAAAAATATTAAATAATTAAAGATCTGCACAAATGTATATTTCTTGCATCGTGAAATAACAACAGCACCTAGAGGCATGACATTTTGAATAACATAGTCCTCCACCTGAATATGGGCACCTGGAAGCCTGATCCCTCCCCCCCCATATTTTGTAACACTTTAATGAATTTTTGATTAACAAAAATGATTTCAAAGCGAGCAATGGCAATAATGCACAAAAAAATAAAAATATGGTTAACTCCAACGAGCAAGACCATCGGAAATTCTGAAGTTATGCTGTTTTAAAATATTTTATAACTTAAACTCCAAGAATGTGATATTTAATAAATAAACACAGATGTTAAAACTAAAAAGACAAAAGTTCTGTAAAGCGACCTTAGTCAGAAAACTGAACACTGATACGATGAACTGAGAAAAGATTGGGGGGAAAAAAACAGAAAAATGTACACCAACGTTTAATGCTGCATCGAGAATTCAAATGATACCGCTATGCTGCATTTAAAATTCTCGAGAATACAACAAAAAAAAAAGCATTGAGCTCTTTTAATAATGCTGATAACTGACACTGATTGAAAACTGTCATTATGAAATTGCCAGTGAGCTTCTATCTCAGTATATTCTTTTATTAATCTTATCATTGGTTCATCTAAAATTGTAATGAACTTCTGACACTACATGACATTATACAATTAGATTTCGATAATATATTTTGAAGCTGAAAATATCTGGTAGTTGGCAGGTATAAATTTACACATCGTGCCACTTCTTGCATTTCTTCACAATCTGAAGTATTTGTCAACAAAATGCAGAAATACTTGTTTAAAATGACAATTCTAGATTGAATTGATATATGACACATTTATTTTGTCTTTGTAAATGAATAAAAGTTTACAGAAATATGTAAACATACATATATATAATACACAATTAGGAAAAGTCATTAAAATTGCCCGAGTTCACAAATAAAAATGTAGTACTCAAACATAAATTTGAAACTATCAAAGTGACAAAAGTCATCTTTCTAATATTATGTAATGTCTTTTGAAATAATAGTGCATACTTACCTAATATATTGATAATTTTTATTAGTTCTTGTAAGGAGATTCCAAGCAGGAAGTTCTGAAAAATATAAAATATTATTAAATTTTTAAAGTAGTAGATTATTAGTAAGGTCAATTAAGATTAGTGCTGTTTCCAGGATTGAAAGAACTATAGATAGTGCAGTAGTCATATAATGATTTTATGTTTACCTAGTTTGTGTCTTGCTCAAATTAGTGTTTAATATAATACGATCTAATATTACAAATTTTTAGTTTCCATGCTAGGGAAATTCTCACACTGTTAGTTTTTCAAATTCCATAACGAATTCTCTTAATGGCTTGAAAATTTTTTTGAAACAAACCCAAAAACAGCTTGACAAGTTTTCATTGATAGTATAAATTTGGAAATAAAATGCACAAGACACATAGCTGATGTCCTATACAGAAAATCAAAACTATCTATAGCCAAAATGGTCTTGAAAAGGTTTCAGATGGCCTTCTGCCTCCATGCATGAAGGTTGCTATATTGTAGCTCTTATGGCGAGCCATGATCCTAAGTAGAATAGCAATGCCCTTTTTGCTAAAAAAGTGCTTTTACGATTGGAGTAAGCCTACAGACGATTTCTCAAATACGGATACGATGACAGCAACCAAATATAGACAATCTGACAATGATGACGAACCGGATTATAAAGCCAAATTAATGGAATTACAGATGCAAGCACTCCTTGTTGAAAGCAAGATCGACTTCTGTAAAGAGATGAAGCTCCAGCTGGTTGCTAATCAACCTGTATCTGCACTGGAGAAACACATGGAAATTATCACAAGATCGATGCGTGAAATGAAGAATGAATTGGAGCTACTCAAGTGTAAGGGAGAAATTTTATTATCTCAGTGTGCTAACAACCTCCCTCCTAACCCTGCAAGTAAAGTTAATATTGCAATCAAAAAAAGAAACAACCTGATATTTCTAACTACTCAGATGATAACACAAACCATGATGATGGTATTATTAAATCCATCCGCGTAACTAAAATAGGGGGAAAAAAAGACCATGCTACTAAGGATGCAATTAGTACCAAAAATAAATTTAGTCCCTTAAATCATGTTAACCAGGATAACAACTCAGTTACTGAAAATAACGTTAAGTACTCAATTTGAATCTCGCGAGCAACAGATACCTTTACTAAGAAAAATCAGTACTATCCATTATGGTCAAATCACCAGCTAACATCAAACAAAATATTTATTTAAAGCAACTTGCTAATCAATCCTCAACAAAATTCTTTAGTACAGTCAGTGCAGAATTTTTAAAAGTATTTCCTAACATCTCAGATGATCAGAAAGTACTTACCAGATATCTCAAGGCTAATTCTATCGAATACTATCTAATCAACATACAACATGAGAAACCCATTAAAGTAGTCATTCATGGATAACCTATAGATACTACACTTTGATCTTAGCCAAAAGGCCGAGAAGCGATATGGTCACCTCAGAAACCAGTGAAATTTTAACAGATTTAGGCTACACTGCACGTAAGGTTGTACAAATGACAAAAATATGCACCCGCCAACCCTTGCCACTATTTCAAATACAGCTTCTTCTTATGCCTTGAAACAATTTATAACACACATTTCTCACTTTTCATAGCATACATTCAAAAATTTCATTTCACAGTGTCATAATTGCCAAAAATGGCACTACTCCTTGGAAAATTGTTTCCTTATGCCACATTTGCATGAAATGCGCAGGAAAACATAAAACTTCACTTTGTGTCCAAAAAGGATTTATTGAAAACCCAATTAGTATAAATTGCAGTAATTCTCACCTTGCCTCATACAGTGGATGTTTAAAACTCCCCAAACCCAGGATAAATAACCCACATGCACCTAGAAAACTCTTTTCAGAAGTACCCACAAATAAACCCAGAAACCAGACTACCAGCAGACAGATATTAATCTAAATCAACCTAAGCAAACACCCATTATCCCTAAACCAAATAACATTCAAACTCCTACAAATAACTCTACCTCAGGATTTCTAGAATTTTTCAAAGCAATCAAAGAACTTGAATTTATTTTTGGCATACAATTTCCAAATTAACAACTTACTTAATAAAGCAAAAATTAAATAAACTCAGAAATGCCAACACCATCATGGACAAAATGTACATTATTTTCTTAATCTTTAAGGAATTAAATAATTCTAGCAACAAATAATCCCTAAATTTACTTTTTTATTATTCCAATAATCTTATTTAACTTAATTTTGTTCTATCATTTTCAGAAGATTTCTCTGTATATAAAACACACTGAATATGGAATGAGCAAATCAGAAAAAAAAAAAAAAATCTTTATACTCTTCAAAAGAAATTTTAACCTCCCTTTTAAGCTTCTTACATTAATATTTTTCAAACACTGTACATACTAATTTTTATTATAGTTTTATATTAAACAAAACACACAAAATGGTTAAAAATTATTATCAGAATCAATATATGAATTACCTTCAGCTGCAAAACGCATTGTGACTTCGTCTTCAATAACAGCCTAAAAAGAAATTTGAATATAAATATATCAATAGATAATACTAAGATCAACAGATAATATATATTATATATAAACCCAGCCTAAGATGATTAAAATTATATAATTTATAACATTATTTGATTTCTCATAGATAAATTTCATATTTATTCATATTTAATTTTATATTTAATTTAAATTTCATTATTTGCCATATTTTGACAAAATAATTTAATATATTTCAATATATATCAATGCTCTTACAAAAATGCTACATCATATTCAAAAATATTTTTAAAAAGCAGTAGAAACTTTCTGATAAACTGAGATTTCCTTCTACCAAACGAATAAAATTTGGAAGAAAAGTAACATTACCTAATCATTAAGCAATTATTCACTTAATTACTCACTTAAAATACTCAAAATGCAAGACAAGGAAATTATCCTTAAATAGCATAAGAATATCTGATTTCCTTTCTTATGTTTATAAAATGTGCCAATGCTTCTTCAAAACATCCAGTTAAAAGGCTTATTTCCTCCTAGAAATCACACCATGTTTGACTCATAATTCAGAATTATGAGGCATGTCAAAAGTGACAATCTGTGAAGGAAGTAAGCTAAATAAACTGAACCTTCACAAACTGTTTCAGAAACAACCCTTTTATTTAATATTTATGAATTACTTTTATCACCTGAAATAAATAATTATTTTACTGCTTATCATACTTTATTTTAACTGCTTATCATACCATTTTCCTGTACAATTCAAAAAGACTAAACTTTCAGAAGATTGAGTTTAAACCAAGGTTTCAAGATTTACTTTTCATACCTTTTAGATATAATTTTTTCACATCATTTACTTATTCAAAAATAACACAATTAATCAGTTAATATTTAAATTACTGAAAGAACTAAATGACAGTCTCCTTTCTTTTAAAGAAAAAATTCCTATTTATATAAATCTTAGTTATTTTTTTAAAATTAGGAATCTGTAATAACTATTATTAAAACTTAAAAAACAAATCAGCGTCAAAAATTAATTAAAAAGTCCTATACATTCCTAATGAAATTTCATTTCCAGAATGATAAATCTTACATAATTTTGACTGGATTACAGGCATTGCTTTTCAAAAGAATTAAAAATCAATTACACCCTTTACGTAACTTTTTTTACATTTATGTGAAATAAGATATAAACAGTACTTAAAATTTAAGCAGAACATTACTCATCATTTCATTAAATTTTGCAAAAATAGAGGTGGGAGAAGGTACTTGCAGCAATTTAAATAGCAGGAAAATATTACACCCTTATTATGCAATTTCTTATTATAAGGATTTCTCTAGAAATTTATAAAGATGAAAGAACAGTTATATTTTATACACAATAAAACTTGCTCTCCCACAAATAGAACATGAAGCACATTATTTTACAATTCATTTCATTTGTAGAAAGATACAAATTCATAACACAGAACAGCCAAAAATTACAATTCATTAGTTGCATGACATACAGAGTTTTGATTTTGGTTAGCCTTATGATAAACAAAATGCACTGAAAGAACAATAAAAAGAATGTTTTATCAAACCAATAGCACATGAAGTTATCTTTCAGCAAACTTAGAAAATAAAAAAAAATTAAAAAATTAGTTCCTCTCCTTGCATTAAAACTCACAACTACTGAAAAATTGGTATTTATCCACACTCTGGTTTCAATACTCAGCAAAAATACCATATTTTCAGAGCATTTCAAGTATAAACAAAACAACAGCCAACCCATGCATGAGCATATCACATATATGTAGAGTACTCGACCAGTCTTGCTGAAATTATTTGGTAAAAGGCACAGCAAATAAAAGAAAAAGACCAAAGCCAGAACAGTACCCACAGCTAGTTAAAAAATATAAATAGTATTGGCTATGTAGATTTCTGTCCCCCATCCCACTCATAAAACTTCTTGTTTCTAATGAATTTTTTTAAACCATTATTTAGGAACATAGTACTTACAAGCCATAAAGATACACACACTTTTTTAATATGATTTAAAAACTTTTCATGAGAGTGCAAATAATTACAAAATACAGAATAATTTCATAATAAAGATTAAATCCGTTTTTCTGCTATTATTCATGTGTGTTTATCCAATAACAGAATCAATGGTTTTCAAAAAAGTCTGCTTAAATCAACCATTAACTGATTAATAGCTACTTTCTAATTAATATGCCTAAAATCAAAAGTTGTATTTCAAAGCACTTTATAATTCATATTATATAATAAATTCTGATTTGCCATTAATAATTCTTTGCATTTCTTACTTAGATTTTGAAAGCAGATACCTTTTAAAATCACAAGAAATTGTGCCCGCTGCAAATGAGAAGTTCGTGGATATAGGAATATACTGGCAATTGAAAATTAAGCATGCAAGGTTTGGAACTGAAATCATCAGACCAAGGAATATGAAACATTGTGATTCATGATCCATATGGATATGTTAAATATAATTATTTCAAGATTTTTGTATGTTTTTAAATTCACCTTCCCAATTTTGAAGGCCATTATAAAATTGTTCTAACTCTCTCCGTATCTGAAATTTAGAATTTGCATTATCAAACTTAATATGCTTAAGAACAGCCCTCCACTCCCTGTAAGGACACAAAATTTAAGCATTTTGCAAAGTTATCAAAGGTCTCTTAGTTTTAGGTACAATGTTCCAGCTTTCAAAAAGTGCTTTCAGAATTTTCAGAACATTTTACATTCTGCTAGTTAAAAAAATAAAAAAAAAAAAAAAAAAAAAAAGGAGAAAAATCACAAAATATACATCTCTTACTTCCACACCAGCTTTTATAAAATCACATATATCCCCAAGCTGAAACTCTTTTTGATCAAGAGGAAGATCAGAAGAATTTGTGAGACAACTTCCTTCGGGATGAGGCTCTGGCACTAACCTTGCTTCACGAGAAATAACTAAATATAATAAAATGTATATATTATTATTAACCTAAATTAATCACCATCCAAGAATGTTAGAAAATAAATTACAGAAATAAAATATCTTTTTAATTGGTCATTTGATCACTCATTATTATAAAACATGTTTTCCAATAGTTATTCTTTAATGACACATTTGTTCTTTTTCTTTCTCACCCCCCCTATAAATTCCACCTACTAAATAGTTTCAACACATAAATACAACTCAAAATTATATATTTTGCAAAACCACATGATTTAATGTGCATTCTATCTTAAATGTATGTCATATAAGTAAGCTTTTGAAATACTCCAGAAATCTTCCCCTTATGCCAAGACCAAGGATGTAGCACATTAACCAGGATTCAAACCCAAGTATCAGCATTCAGTGGTTTTATATACTTGGCCAACAGCAGACCTACAATCTAGTATGGCAACCTCTCATGTGACTCAGGTTAATCAGTAAATAAAAGTTACTGTTGCATACATCAAACACCATATACACTCAGCCAAAAAAAGGGGGGCACAGTTCTATATCTCCCATTCTTCTCAGCTGATTGATAAAATTCAACTTGCGTTTTTAATGTCTTGAAAGCATAACTTAGGATATATGTTAGATTTATATATATATATATATATATATATATATCGTTGTTCTAACATATATATTTTGACATAAAATCTAGACGTTTCTGAAATGCTATGCCAATTTTTTCTCCAACAATTCTATGACTCAAGTTATGCCTAAAAGCAAATTTTGTAAAATTTGGTGTGAAATTTAAGCCGTAATTTGGAAATTTACTTTGGTGCACTTTTTTTACTTTGCCCAGAATAATTCACTTAGTGAACTTTTCAGCTTACAGCAGTCTATTTCACTTTACAGTAGTGGGAGAAAAGTAACATTTTTTATTTCTTGAAGCATATATTTTTGCTCTTTTTAAATTAAAATTTTTATTTTTGGATTTTTATTTCCTTTTTAGAATTTCATATCAATTTAGGCTGCATTTTCATTAAGTTGCGTGATTGAATTATAGTTTTTAAAATAGTTATTTTAAAAACTGCTGTTTATTCATTCGCATTGTGTACTTTAAGCAAGTTTATTTATATACTAGTTGAAGTGCCCGATGCCAGTTAAGTTAGATTGAGAGTAACACATCTAACAACAGAGAGAACGATATCACTGTAATCCTTCTCTTATAATGATGAAAAAAATATGATTCAGAGTTATACATTTTTCAGTCTGATGCGATATGGAACCCACATAAAAATTACAATACAAAAATAAGCTAATTCTCTCTCATTATATTAGCAACAATGACATGCATTTTTGAATTATTTTTGTCTTTCTAATCAAATGGATGTAAAATCTTAAGTTCCAACCAATATTTCACCAATTTTAGTAAATTAAATGTGGCAAAAAATTTATCATAATTGATCAGAAATCAATAATGTGAACAAACACACAAATAGACAATCATTTTTATATGTATAGATTTTGTAAAACTTACAAATTTTTTAATAACAAACTCTACGATTTGAAAGCGAGCAGTAGCAACACTTTTTGAAATAAAGCCTTTTTATCTCATAGTGTGATACTGCTTCCACTCAGAAAACTGAGTACGAAAATTAGCGCTTTCAGAGTTTTTAACTGATATTTCGGCTGATTAAAGTCGTATGAAGATGGAGATAGTCAAAATAGCTTCTCACAAAATTTTTGAATCGGGTATAATGTATTTAATGTTTGGCAATGCTATTTTTATTTCATTGTGAAACTTCAAAATTTTTTACTAACAAACTCTAGGATTTGAAAGTGAGCAGCAGCGATAACTTTAGAAATAAAGCAGATTTTCATCTCCAGCTTGCAAGACTATTGCCACTCGGAAAAATGAGAGCAAAAATTTTCATTTTCCCGAGTTTTTAATTAATATCTCTGATTTTAGCTACCTTTTTTGGGGAAAAAATGGACGTCGACCTTTTCCAGGACCCTGAAAAGAATTGTAGAAAGTCTGGTGACGATAGCTATAGCAGTGATTAAGTTATTAGAGGACAAACAAACATACTTTCTTCTTTATATATAGAGAGAGATAAATGTTCTTTTTTTAACTTAATTTTATTTATTTCAATAGCATTTCTTTTAAAAGAATACTTTGCCACCCAGTATTCCTCACTATGCCTTTGAACACTGGATTCTGCATTCAAAGAGAAAAAATTATAAAGCATAGTTAATAAAGCATCTTTCAATCGGCCATTCAGAAAAGATATATAAGTGAGAAAGTTGCATTATCTACATTTTAACTTAGAATGGCATGCATACAAACAACTGTCTATGGTTTCAGCACTGTGCCATTGTCTACACAATTTTATCATCCTAGATTTAATTTTTTAAAATATTAACCATATTTCCAAATAAGTTCAGATTTTTTATTTCAGTAGCAAAAATAAAATAGCAGAGAATTTTAAATAACTAAATAAAATAATTAAAATAAGATAAATATTTTTTTTCCCCTTTAATGCCTTTATTTTTTTCTCTTGATTTTTATTGCTTCAAGAAAACTTTAATAGTTTAATGATTTTTCTGAGGCATTCTGCATATATATACATGAAAAAGGTTGTTTTCTGTGACATTCGTATGAGTAAAAGTTAACCCTTTTCGTTTAATCAGCAAATGGTCAGAGTTAACTAGTGAAGTGATTTTTTTCCATGATACCCAATGTCTTTAGAGGCTAGGCATTTTGAAGGCCTGAGATGAAAGAAAAGACTAGTTTCATCACCAATGAAAACATTTTTACTTGATAGCCACACAATTCTTTAATAAATTCATGAAACTTAAACCAATTCAGCTACTATATCTTTCTTTATTTATGATATGGTAAAGTGTTCAATGACATAATTTAAATTTATACAGCCCTTCAGTGTAAAAATATATATGTTATTTCTTCTGTCTTTATCACAGGGTTAGGCCCAATCACAAGAATATTTAACACATTGCACTGGGAAGAAAACCTCAGCAAAATACGATTTGAATCTTCACTTCTTGAATACACAATTTCTTTGGGAGCAGTTTTTTTTTACAAACTGATTTTCTTTCTTCTAATTTGCTTCTTTCAAAAAAACATTTGTTTTAATGCTGACACAAAAATGTACAGTTTCTTCAACAGTTATATTTCAGTAAATTTTATATTCTCATCAAATTCTTTTTTAAAATTTAAATGTGTCTGACTGTTTTTCATTTTTTAGATATTTTATGTGCAAATTAAGCTTAAAGTAAAACCAGATTACAATATTTTAGTTAAAATATGCTTACCAAGTGATACAGGAATAAAACATCTCCCAAACATTTTTGGTCAAAAGAATTCTGCATTTATTCTGTCTCACCTAATAATTCGAATTAATATCAGGTGCAAATTTTCTAAATCATATTATTTTTACAATTTTTAAGACAGTCAATGACACATTAACCCTCTGAGCGGCACGACCCGCTTTATTCGGTCATCAGATTTTTTGTCACTTGGCATATATCAGCTTACAATTTAAGATATTTTGTTTTCTTACTTTCTTTAATAGTGTAAATGTCATCATAAAGAATGCAAGTTTCTGAAAATAGAAACTAAAATAAGTAATTACATAACTTTAGCTAATAAATGCTGTTTAAATGCAGTTATTCACGACAGATCTTAAATTCTGTGCTGCTCAGAGAGTTAAACAGCATTTTTTTTTTAAATTCTCTGTAACAATATGAGGGCAAAAATGCTATTTGAGACATTCACATGTCATACTACTTTTACCTCTTTCATGTCAGGAAAAATTTACCTTTGAAAGGACACTTGAGTTTTGTGAAGTGAAAATAAATGCAAGGAGACTAGACAAATATAAAGAACATGCTGGATGACTAAGTGCAAATATTTATTTTCAGGACAAAGTGATTCTACGAAGTCTTGACAGGTGGAAAGATTAATAATTGTGCAATACAACAATTTTTGAATAATTAACATATGAATAACATTTGCCTGCTTAATTCTCAGTTATTTAAGTCAGCTACTTAACCAAACATTTAGAATTGTAGCACTGTTTTGACAACTCAGCTTGTAAATTAAATCTAATATCATCTAAATACCCGTTGTTCCCATGGTGAGTAACACAGATAATCATCCTGTTTTTAGCTTAGACTCCAAGAAAACCAAGTAAATACAATAATAGCAAATGTAACTGAATGTTCACTTGTACTAGGGTTTGGTAGTTTAAAAACTAATGCATGAACAAAACTCTGCTTTTTTTGTGTGTGCCTAAGAATATTAATTATGGTTTAAATATTTGCAAATAAATAATAAATTAGAATCTGTAGGGTTGGTAGTATAACTGGAGACTAAAGTCAAAATCCTGCAGCCTCTACTAGACAGATACCAAATTATTGCTACATCTTGAACAACTTGAATCAGAAAGGACAAATACGCTTTTTTGGGGGGGGGCAGTCGCAATTTGAACATAAAGATACAACTTGTGCAACAAATGAAATCTAACACTTGCCGATATTTTATATTAATGGAACAGAACAAATCTGAACATCATAATGCAGGGTAAGACTACACATTAAACAGAATAAGGTGGCTCATATATTTTTTGCCAGCACATATTTTAAAGCATTGCCTAAAGCTTTAAAACTCTCGGCTTAGATGTACACAAAGCTAATTTGCCTTCTGGTGAGAACGAATATGGAAAAGAAAAATTATAGTAAAGACTTTAATCATAATAATTGTTTAATTAACATAAATTTTAACAAACATGTAAATAGATAAAAGCAAATTTTAAAGTGATAATTAAAAAATGTGCAAACATATATTAAGATTTAATTTTCGAACTAATCTACAATATCATTTAAATTCAGACAGCATAAGTAAATCAAGTGCAAAAACCAAACCATGAACAAATGCATTGGTTTCTTTTTTTAATTTTTTTTTTTTTTAAATTTAAATTAACCCTTTGACACACCCTGAAACCAC